AAAAAAAAAAAAAAAAAAAAAAAAAAAAAAAAAAATCTGTAATATCAATAAAAAAGAGAATCAAAAAAAAAAAGGTTATACATATTGTTATGAAAGAGTTAAGAAATATCAACATATCAGAAAAAAAAAAAAAAATCCATTACAATTACCGATGTATAAATATTTATTTCTTTGTTTATTTGTTTGGGATTTGGAATTTATAGCTAGGTCAGCGGTGGCTGGAGTGACGTCATTTCTGCGGCTGTAAGGTAAGCTATGAGAACAAATAGCAAATTTAAAAGAGATAACTAATTTTCTCAGTTAAAAACTGAATGTTTTATAATTGAATTTTTTTTTTGGTTTTATGTTTATTATCAGTACTACAATTTGTTTTTTTTTTCTTTTTTTGGTTAGGTTAGGGAAGTTTTTTTATATATATATACCAATAGTTTTTGAGAAAGGAATGAATAAGAACCTGGTAATCACAGTATGTTTATTATATTATTATTGATAAAAATATAAATATATATTGAAGACATTGGTGAAATGTCTTCATCATCATCATATTATCATAAATATTAATAAAAAAAAAAAATATGTATATATGAAATACTTTGTAAATATCTATATATATGAAATATTGTAAAAATCTATATATGAAATAATGTAAATATCTATATATGAGTAAAGATTTTGTAAAATTTTTATCAATAGTTTGAAATCATATTATAAATGTTATAAAACAATTCCTGTATTTATAGTATATAAAGAAAAAAAAAAAAAAATAATAAATTATAATAAATTATTTTTTTTTTATTTATGAGTTCATTATGAGATTTTGTTGAATCTATATAAAGGGGCGGTGTTAGTGCGGCATTCCAATCATTTTTCCGAAGGTAAGGATCCTTGAAAAGAAATTGTATTCACCTATTTTCACGTGATTTTTAAAATGAAACGTTTTACAAACAGCACTCAAGCATTACCAGATGTATTACCAGTGTTTCCCACATTCAAAGAAACCATGACGATACAGGCTGGTGCTGTTAAAAACATTGACTGGGGAGTGGAAGAGTCCATCATAACTGAAATGAAAGCAGTAGGGTTGCCCAGAGGTAGAACCAGCGACTTAGGTGTAAGCCTGGCGTATACCGATCTTCCGAAGGCAGCTGCAGTAGTAGTGACCATCAAGGGCAAGACTCTTCCCATACTATTCGATGAGGATAAATTTGGTTAGTTAGGATACTAACTAAAAACATGGCACGAAATTTTTTTTTGTTGTCGTCTGCAGCGATTCCTCAGTTGCCAAGAACCCCACCCCAACACCGGCGAGCATACCGGGCTAGCCACCGTGCCATGAGTGGTTTCTAAGGACGCGGAACTACCAACAGGTAGAAACAACATATACCTATTAATAATATAATTACAGAGTCAGAGGAAGAAGCTCTACTCCGTTCGCCAACGAAGGTTGGAGGAAATCTTGAAAAGAGGCTTGAAGCATCTCTCAAGATTCAGGATCTGGATGATCTGAACCCATCTGCTCAGAGACCAATGGTATCAAGCGGTGGGAACACCTCTCCGGTGATTGGCACCCAGAGTCCTATGGACACAGGTGACCACGATGGCGGTGCGTCTAATGCTAACACCCAGAGCATGGTGAACTCAGGTGACGGCAACATAGAGACCAGGAAGAAAGCGGAATACTTCACCGGGGCTCAGAAAAGACGCATCAAGGCCATGATTAGGGATGGATTGGATTTGGAGACTGCGAAGCAGAAAGAGAGAGAGCGATACTCTCTCTACAAAGCTTCCTTGGCAGCAGAAGGAGAAAGTGACAGACCCAGTACCAGCAAAAGGTGCAGATCTAATAACACATCTCCCGAAGAAACACAACGCCCGCAGCCCAAAAAGCCAAAAGCCATTCAACAAACATCTAGCTCTACCGGAAACCAGCTAAAACCGACTCCATCTTACAGGGATGTAGCCAATGCTTGCAAAGTGGCTATCGCCCATGAGAAATATCCGGAGGTGAATCTCACTGGTGACCAAATGGAGTTGATAAAATCGAAGCTCCTGGAAGAAATTGACAAACTTCCCAAGCACAATAGTGTCTACGGCTTCATCACCAGTGTTAACAGAGACGGATGGCTCTCATTAACATGCTGCAATGGTGAAACGAGGAACTGGCTGACCACCTGTGTCCCAAAACTCAAACCATTCCCGGATGCTATTCTCAAAGTGTTTCAGGGCGAAGAGATGCCCAAAACCTATGTGTGCATCACATTTATTCCCCCCTCTGCTGTGCTACCACCAGAAATTCTGATGTCCCGATTGGAAAAACAAAATGGTGGCATTTGCACATCATCGTGGAGAATTCTCAGGACTGAGAAAGATAAGAATGGTGGGGAAACCGTTACGATCTCAGTGGACGAAAAATCCAAAAATTGGATAGTCGGTCAGGCAGGGAAGCTGTATCTGAACTTCACACAAATTCACGTACGTGTGAAGGGAGAGCCAACTGGACCCAAGAAACTGACAACAAAAAGGCCATTTACGACAGAGAAACCCAGTGACGTCAAGCAACAGGTGCCTCCATCCAAAAGGCCGCTTTCAGGTGATAGACCCAGTACCTCAAAAGCACAGGCAGATAAGCCAAGTGAGACGGTTAAGGTCACACGGGACAGCACCCGAACTGAAGTCGGACCCAGCACCTCAAAACAGCAGGGTGGCACACCGGTATCTAGCATAAAGGACCAGAAGCAAGGGCCAAAGAAACCAGCTTCAAGATCCCCTCGACAGGAAGCACCCACTCATGGGACAAAATTGCCCAAGTGGATGCGGAACGGTAAAGGACGATACCAATAAAATGATGAGGTGCCTGCAGGTTAATCTTCAACACGCCAAAGCTGCTACGGCGGTGTTGACACAGCGACTTCTATCTGAAAAGATTGACCTAGCCTTTATCCAGGAGCCATATGTATATGAGAACCAGATAAAAGGAATAAAAGGTAAGCTACTGTACGATCATGCCAGCCATGGTCGACCTCGTGCTTGTATTGTGGTAAGAGATGACATTAATACTTTCATTATTTCACAGCACACCAACAAGGACCAGGTAGCAGCTATAATTTCTGTGGACACCCCAGTAAGTAACACAGAGCTCATTGTCTGCTCATCTTACCTACCTGGAGACTCCCAAGACCTAGACTTCCTATCACTGAAAGGACTAGTAGACTACAGTGTTAAAAGCAAGAGGCAACTCATCGTTGGAAGTGACGCTAATGCACACCACACGATCTGGGGTAGCACCGATATCAATAAAAGAGGTGAGTGTCTATTTGAATTTATAACTGGTAACAACCTAAATAT